TGCCAAGGGGACTGGAAGCAATCAGCAAAATGTTTAGCAGGAGAAGATCATTGTTATGGAAGTTAGAATTTGCTGAACAGTGTAAAGGTATGGTTAAAATCAGTTGAGCTAGGGAAAAAAAGAGGCAGCTTCTCATTTTTTCCAGTAAGAAAGGTAATGGTCAATTCTCCTACAAATCTTCTATGGTCATAAAAAATCAGATTCAACAAATAGCAAGATGTTTTGTCTGTCTTGACTGTATTCAGTATGTCTTGGTTACAGATTATTGGTATCTTTATCTTGTGTTTTTTTGGGTGTAGTCGATCCCCTTAGGTTGGAGTTTTCCTTCTAGTATCTTCCATAGGGCTGAACTGTTACAAATATATTGCTTAAATTTAATTATGACATGGAATATTTTGTTTTCTCCATCTATGTTAATTGAAAAATTTGCTGGATATAGTAGTCTGGGTTAGCATCTGTGATCTCTAAGCATCTGCATGATGATACCCAGGCCCTTCTGGCTTACATAGTCTCTGTTGTGAAGTCTAGTGTGATTCTGACAGGTCCGCCTTTATATGTTACTTGGTCTTTTTCCCTTGTCCCTTTTAATATTTTTTCTTTGTTCTGTAAATGTAGTGCTTTGATTATTATGTGGCAGGAGGATTTTCTTTTCTGGTCTAGTCTATTGGGTGTTCTGTAGGCCTCTTGTATGTTTATGGGCATCTCTTTCTTAAGGTTGGGGAAATTTTCTTCTATGATTTTCTCAAAAATATATTTTGGGCCTTGGAGCCAGGAATCTTTTTTTGTCTATTCCTATTATTCTTAGGTTTTGTCTTTTCATGGAGTCCTTGATTTCTTGGATGTTTTGTGTTTGGAACTTTTCTGATTTTATTTTTTTTCTTTGAGAGATATTATCAATTTCTGCAATTGTTTCTTCAGCACCTAAGATTCTCCCTTCCACCTTCTTTTATTATGTTGGTGATGCTTACCTTGTTGGTTCCTGATGTCTTCTCTAAGTTCTCCAACTCAAGGGTTTTCTGTTTGTGTTTTCTCTATTGATTCTAATTCTGTTTTCATGTCTTACATCATTTCCTTTATCTGTTTGAATATGGATTCCTGTCTGTCCATGATGGCCTCTATTTTTTTTTGTTCATTTCCTCTTTATGTGCCTCTATTTTGTTGTTCACTTCTTCTTTATATGTTTCAAAAATCTGCATAATTATAGATTTAAGATAATTTCCCCTGTGTTTCAGCTGCAATAAAATATCCATTGATTTTTGGAATTCTAGTGAAGCCATGATGTCCTGGTTTTTGTTGCCTGTATTCGTTTTTTTTTTTTTAATTTACTTAATTTATTTATTTCTTACATATACAGTGTTCTGCTTGCATAGCATCAGAGGGCACCAGATCTCATTTTAGATAGTTGTGAGCCACCATGCTGTTGCTGGGAATTGAACTCAGAAACTTTGGAAGAACAGCCAGTGCTCTTAAACTGTTGAGTCATCTCTCCAGCCCTATTGCCTAAATTCTTATATCAGCCTCTAGCCATCTGGTTGCCTGGAGCCTTGACTGATTATTCCTAGAGCCTGTACTACAGACTGGATCCACCTGTCTCTGGAGTCTCGAGTAGTCTCTGTCGGATTAACTGTCTCTGCTGGCTCACTGTTTTTGACCCAGGTATGTCATGTATCTGGGGCTCAGGTGGAAAGATCTCTGAGTTTAGAGCTGCTCCAGTGTCCCACAGGCTTCTTTAAGATAGTGGAGGATGGGATTTGGGTCCCAGGCCTGCCTCAGCTCCACTGGGTTCACTGACTGTGCTGGCCTCATTTCCGACCCAGGTGGGCGAGGCTGCTGGGGAGCAGGCAGAAAGATCTCTGAGCCTCAAGCTGCTCCAGTGCCCCACAGGCCTCCTTGGGGAGGACAATGAAACTTGGGTCAGGTGTCTATCTCAAATCTGCTGTATTCTCTGTCTGTGCTGGGCTCACTAATTCTGGCCTATGTGAGCCAGATAGATCTGGCAGATAGATCTCTGTGCCAAGAGCTATTCCAGTGCCCCACAGGCTTCCTTAAGGTGGTGGGGAATGGAACCTGGATCCCACACCTAGCTCAGCTCTGCTGTGCTCACTGCATGTGCTGTGCTAGCTGATTCTAACCTGGGAGAGCCAGGCAAGAGGGGAGTACAGTACCAGAATGTAACCCCTCCACAGGGCCGTGAAGAGTAAGCACCACTAGCCTCTGAGACCAGAAAGGTGTCCACAGGATGTTAAGTGTGGTCTCCCTGGTTTGGAATCAGGAGAAGCTAGTACCCAGAAGGTGTCCGTAGAACTGTGAGAGTGAGTGCCCAGGTTTGGAGCCTCACCCTCAGTACTCCACAGGCAGTGAGAATGAGCACCCAAGGTCTGATCCGCCAAGCACTCGTCCCAGGAAGATATCCACAGAAAATGGGCTTGGGCGGTGGGTGGCCTAAGGCTGCAGGGTCAGAACCATGCATGCCCTACAGCTGGTGGTCCCAGAAAGGTATCTACAGATGGTGGGTTCAGGCAGGTGGCCTAAGGCTACAGCAGGGTAGGAACCCCATGCATGTGCCTCAGCTGCTGGTCCCAGGAAGATATCTACAGCCATGGCAACTCTTACATATAAGTGGTTAGAATTTTAAAGGAAATAAAACCACATCATCTGTAGTTTTGTCAGTTGTGGATTATGTGTTATAGTTCCCAAAGAAGTCACAAAAGGGTCAAGTAGGATTACTAGAAAATGCATCCCTGAAACTGGAACACATTTCTCTCGTTTTCAAATCATCCTGGGATGCAAGTTTTGAAAGCACCCTCTGACTGTTCAGTGGACTATCATTGCTACCATGTTGTATTTGTGTAATCATAATAAAGTATAGAGGTAAAGGACCAGTACAGCATTTCCAAGCTTCTGGTAAATGTGGCAATGCATACTGGCGTGTTCACTATTTTCAACAGTTGAGTTTTCTTATGATTCCTTGATATTTTAACTACAAAGGTTTTGTATAAAATTTTCTGATATATTTTTGTTTTAGCAAGAAATTAGGTGAAAAAAAAGAGTAAAACAGCAGTTCTTTTTTAAAAGTAAAGTTCTTTAATATAACTTTAAAGTTTATATTTTCCTCATTTTTCCATGGAAATATTAAAATGTCTTTTAGAATACTATTATCATTAGAAATGAGTAGTATTCCATGTTAAATATATATGTATGTATAAACCAAATTTTCATTATCCATTCATCTGCTGATTCTATTTATTTCCTATAGTAAATAAAACAGGATAAACATAGAGGTACAAATATTCCTATGGTAGGGTATGGAGTTCTCTGAGGATATGCTTAGGAGTGAAATAGTCTGGTCATATGGTAGTTCTATTTTTAAATTTATAAAATGATTTCTACAATGGCTGTATTAATTTGAACTCCCACCAACAGTGAATTAGGGCTACTTTCTCTCTACAGTCCCTCCAACATTTATCAGGTTTGCTGATAGCTATTGTGACTAGGGTGAGGTGGTATCTCAAAGTAGTTTGATTTACATTTCTCTGATGGCTAGAAATATTGAACACTAAAAAGTAGTTATTGACCATTTGTGTTTCATTTTTTTGAAGATGCTATATTCTGTTCATTTACCCATTTGTTGATTAACAATTTAATTTTTTAAAACTTTATTTATTTACTATGTATACAATGTGTGTTTGCATGTACACCTGCACAGCAGAAGAGGGCACCAGATCTCATTATAGATGGTTGTGAACCACCATGTGGTTGCTGGGAATTGAACTCAGGACCTCTGGAAGAGCAGCCAGTGCTCTTAACCTCTGAGCCATCTCTCCAGCCCTAACAATTTAATTTTATTGGTATTCAATTTCTGTGGTTCTTTGTAATTTCTGGATATAAGCCCTTTTAGGATAACTGGTAAAGATATTTTTTTCTTATTCTTTGGGCTGTATGTTAACTGCTGGTTGTTTCTTTTTATTTTATTTTTTTTATTTTCATGTAGTTCCCATCTGTTGAGACCTGGGGTTAGTTTCTGTACTGTTGGTGTTCTATTTAAAAAGTTTTTGTCTACTCTGATATCTTGAAGGGTAACCCCTGTGTTTTTTTTTTTTTTTTTCTAAAAGTTTCAGTGTTTAAGGTTTAAATGAAGATAAAATTTGCAGGACTTAGAATGTGTTCTTAAGCAAGGTCATACAATTTTGGAAAGAAAAAAAAAGCTGTTTTTTCCCTCTCAAATGCAGGACCTAGCCAATACATGTAAGCAAATGTACATTTGGGTACAGTATAATATGAAGAAAAGAGAACAAGGAAGGCTAAAAATAAGGGGGCCTGGAATGACTGAATGCTCTTAATGGACATGAGTTATTTAAGAGGCATAAAACTAATTGTTTTTCTAGTTCTGATTCTGTCATGGATTTTATGGTTTTGGTAGTGCACAACATATATTTGATACTGAAAGTATAAAATTTCATGTAGCACTACATAGCTTCCATTCTGAATGTTGAGAGTTAAGTTTCAGAAAATGGAGAATTAATAATTTAGAAGGTATCAGAGTTGGCTCATATACAATTGTATGGTTTTAAATAAAATGTTGGTGGCATGGATAGTATGTAATGTAGAAGCCAGAGAAGAATGGTGGTTTTGAATTAGAGAGGGGATATCCTTGTGGTGGTTTGACTAAGAATGGGTCCCCACAAGCTCATGTAATTGAATGTTTGGTCATCAGAGAGTAGGACTACATGGAAAGATTAGCAAGTATGGTCTTGTTAGAATGGGTGTGGCCATACTAGAGGAAGTATATCACTGGGGGTAGACTTTGAGGTTTCAAAAGCCCACACCAAGCCCACTGTCTCTCTCTCTTCCTCCTGCCTGTGGATCTGGATGTAGAGCTCTCAGTAACGTTTCCAGCACCATGTCTGCCTGCATTCCACCATGCTCCCCACCATGATAATAATGGACTAAACCTCAGAAACATAAACCAGCTCCAATTAAATGGTTTCTTTTTTTTTTAATCTTTTATTTTTTTTTATTAATTACACAAATGGTTTCTTTTATAACAGTTTCCATGGTCATGGTGTCTCTTCACAGCAATAAAACACTGACTGAGACAGTCCTATACCTGAGGATGCAAAGACTACCTCAGTATAGCTGCTGGGCCTCACATCCCAGAATCTCAAGCCTTAGGGCAATTTGGTTCTCCCAGACCTGGGGGTGAATTCGAAGATAACGAGTGAGTAATGGTGGGTCTAGAGAATTCACCATAGGTGTGGACGAGTCCTGATTCCCCCGAAAAATCTGAAAGAGGATAGACAGCATTTATTAACTGACTGAAAAGACAAAAATACCATCCATACCACAACATTCTTGATAGAAGCTTCAAGTTAATTAGCTTTCTACTTTGTCAGTCATTTGTCCATGTCTCCTCTTCCTCATGACCCTTTCCCCTCTTTGCATCTGTCACAATGTTTATCACAAAGTTCAAGTGATTTACTTCAATTTTATTCCAGTATTTTAAGATTGAATCCTGGAAGATTAGGTGACTCTATGGGTCAAAAGTTGTTTTGACTTGTAGAATTGAGACCAACCTACTTATCTGTTATATAGGACTGCTCTAGCTATGCCTTACATTTGAAATATTCTCAGCCAAAAAGCAAAATGCTTTGCTTGAGGTCATAAACAATATCCATATGTCAGGTAATCAGGAAGTGAGAGTCAGGACTCAACTCGTTGACTCTACAGTCACTGCATTTGTTATTATAAGTATATAGCAAATATTCAATAAATGGTAGGTACTGTCATATATGCTACTTTCACACGTTAGCAGAAATACATCAAAGTGTGTAACTTGACAGGAGAGGATGCAGAAGAGAGAAAGAGTTGGGAGTAAAGTCCAAGAATCAAGGTGTCTTGCCACATTGGGATTTTGGAGTTAAGCCCACTTGCAAGTCAGTCATATTTGACGAAATGCAAGTGAATAATCAGAATGTGTAGTTCCTGGCAGCTCAGAAACTCAGTAGAATGTGTGTGTTATTGTTGTGTGTGTGTATTCCATGAACATCATAAAGTTGAGGTCCCGGCCAAAGGCTAAGAGTAAGAGTCAGGAAAGCATGAAGTGATGAAACTCTGTTTTAGGGCATGCCCTTGCAAGCACAGACACGATGACATCCATAAGATATACCTAGATAGTTTGCATGGAAGAGAACATTGGGAACTGGGCTATTGTCACGGGGAAAATGGTTAAACAACAAAGAAAGAACTACTGTTTGCTGGGGCTGTTTAGATGATATTTACTTAAAACAATTTTGTGAGCTATGTCTTTCAAAGTTGGTATTAATTTCACTTTAGATTCCAACTGGGAAGGAAATAATGCTGGTTCTACAGAATTAAACTATAAGAACAAAAGAAGTCTTATATATGTTTTTATTTTAGCTTTATTTTCCTCTTAGGTTCCCTTCCATCGCTGTTCACTGAAATCACCTAGGGAGCTTTTTAAAACTGCTGAGGCTTGGTCTAGCTTTTAACCTAGAGATGTCAATTTAATTGGTTCTCTTACTTTGGTCCCTTTAGGGGGTACCTAGAAAAAGCTTTTCAATATGAAAGACTAGAGGTGTCACATTCTTGCTTAAAGCCTTCTATGACGGGGCTGGAGATGTTTCAGTGGTTAAAAGTACTGGCTGCTCTTCCAGAGGACCCAGATTCAATTCCTACACCCACATGCCACCTCACATCTGTCTATAACTCCAGTTCCAAGGGATCTGACACTCTCTTCTGGCCTCCTTAAGCACTGAATGGATATAGTACAAAGACATACATACAGGCAAAAACACCCATACTTCCTTCTCCCTCCAAAACAAAACCTTCCATAACACTTACAATGAAATCCAAACTCATTTTGATCTCCATGCCTTGCAAGATATGACCTGTGGCCACTGCTGGCCATTCTGCTCTCACCTCCACTGCTTTCCCCCTATTTTACATTGCAGACACATTTTTCTTTTTTAGCTACTAGATAGTGCCAATTCTTCTTCTTCTTTTTTTAATATGAAAAACTTTGTGTGTATGACTCTCTCTGCTCAGAAGTCTTTTATCCCATTGTTTCTTCCTCTTTGATCTATTGTTTTTATATTCTATGTCTTCATAGAAATGTCATATCATTAGAAAACTCTTCTTCCTCTAAAATATGGTTCTTGTTTATTTTAAATCTGAAATTCTTGTTTGTTTCCTTAGTAACATTTGGAGGTTGTTGACAAAGACATTGTCACCACATAGAATATGGATCCTAGTGCACATATGTTGTATAGTAATTTCCTCTGAGATAAAACATTCCATCATGGAGTAAAGACATAAAACCTTCTAAAGGGAGACAAAACAGGCCTTCTTGCAGGGAGACTTAAGATCAAGAATAAACATCTCAGTAGCTTCAGGAAGTCCCTGAAACTGACCAGATTCATTAGACTCCTCTATCTCTGATAAGAGTATATAAGAAGTAGAAACTACTGAGAAGTCAAGTTTTCTGTAAAAGACTCATACCAACTGAACTATTTAGAAAGACTACTTTCTAAATTGTGGACTGCCTGTATGCTATGCAGTGTGCTCCAGGTTTCTAGCTTTCATGAGTTATGACCTGTGCTGGGTGAGCTTTGGTAATTCAGCTATCTTTGAGTCATTCCTGCTCTTGCAAGTAACCTTTCACCCGGAAACCTGTGATTAATCCCAATAAAATTCATGATTCATCAAGTCAGACTTTGGTGATATCTTTACTTTGGTCTGTTGGAGGTTCAATTTTATGATATATATGGAGTCTTGGTCATCTTTATTAGATATAACCCTTATTATGTCTTCTTAAGCTTTCATTTAAAAAAATTTGCAAGTGTAGAGGTATTAAAAATACAGTGAGCATGCTTAAGTCCTTCATCTAGAGTTACCAATTATTAGAATACTAATATTTATATTCTTTCTTTCCTTCCAATCATTTAAAAAAAGATTGTTTATTTAATTATGTGTGTGTGTGCACATTTGTGTGTGTATGTTCACATGACTGCAAGTGCCCATGGAGGCCAGAGGCATTGGATTACCTGGAACTAGAGTTATATGTGATTGTGAGCGGCCTAAAGTTAGTGCTGGGAATTGAACTCAGGTCCTCTGCAAGATCAAAATGCACTTTTAACTGTTAATCCATCTTTCTAGCTCCCTCCTTCCCTTTCTCTCTCTCCCTCTCTTCCTTCTTCTCTCTACCCCTTCTCTTTCTGTACACACACACACACACACCCACACACACACACACACACACACCTTTTTTCTGAAACAGTTTGGAAAAAATTATAAACATCATGGTAGTTTTGCATACTGAATATATTTCATCATGGAAATATATTTAGTATATATTTAATATATAGGGGCCATTTTTTACATACCACAGACTACCACTATTATGACCAACAAATATAGCATTAGTGAAATATTATCTGCTATTAAAAATTTTCAGGGCTGGAGAGATGGCTCAGAGGTTAAGAGCACTGGCTGTTCTTCCAGAGGTCCTGAGTTCAATTCCCAGCAACCACATGGTGGCTCACAACCATCTATAACGAGATCTGGTGCCCTCTTCTGGTGGCAGGTGTACATGTAGACAAAACATTGTATACATAATAAATAAATCTTTAAAAAAAGTTTTCAGTTATCATAATGATATCCTACATAGTTTTTCCCACTTAGAATCTAATAAAAGATCACATATTGCATTTACTTGCCTTATTTTAAATTTCCTTAAATCTAAACTAGGGAGATAAGAAGATGGCTCAGTAGATAAAGCACTTGCTGCACAAATGTGAGAGCTGGAGTTCAGATCCTTTGCAATCAAGTAACTGTAAATGGATGGTTAGTCCATCTACAATCCCAACACTCAGAAGCTATCTTTACAGTTAGCTGGCTAGCTAGACTAGACAAAATTGGTTATCTCCTGGGTATGAATCTGGAGAATAATAAAGGAAGATATTTAATATCAATTTTTGGTCTCTGTACACATGCACCCCCACAAAGGTATTCACCTACACTTGTAAGCATATATACACACTGCACACACATACACATGCAAAATTAAAATTAAAAAATAAATCAAAAGTGGATTCATAATCTCTGCTCTTTTTCATCCTTTGTGACACTGAGATCTTTAAAAGCGAGGGATGCTTGTGTTATAGCCCGGCCTGAATTCTAAATATGAATGACTTCACATTTACTAAGTAGAATGTGTGTTCTTACTGCACTGCAGCAAAGGACACTTGGCCCTATTATTGATGATCCTAATTTTGATCCTTAGTTAGGATTGAGACCACTCAAACCTTCTATTATGTAGGTAGTCAAATTTTACTTTCTTAACAACCTGCTGGGTAAACTTTGAAATTATGTGAATGTTTTACTTCCCAACAAACCTTCATCCAGTGGTTGTTATTTTCCATTCAATTTTTTTTTGTTGTTGTTTTTGAGACAGGGCTTCTCTGTATAACAACCCTAGCTGTCCTGGAACTCACTTTGAAGACCAGGCTGGCCTCGAACTCAGAGATCTGCTTGCCTCAGCCTCCTGAGTGGTGGGATTAAAGGTGTGTGCCACTACCACCAGGCTTCCATTTAATTTCTTTACAAGTATTAATAGTATGGGATGGTTTCCAATTGAATTTATAATTAATTTTGTTGGATCTTCTACATTAATTAGCTGGCACTTTCTGTGTAGAAGTAGAAGCTAACTTTCTCCTTTTATTTATTTTTTTACTGTGACTATGAACTATTGTGTTCTTTCTCTAGTCTGTATATTATAATCTATTACCATCATTATTCTTTTTGCCTGGATTGAAATATACTATGTAGTTCAGGCTGGCCTCAAACACCAAAAATTTCCCCTGCCTCACCTCCTTAGTTCTGGGATTACAGGCATGAGCCAATACACCCTGCCATTATCTTTTTGATGTTCAAATTTTCTCTAAGTTGGCTAACAGAAAGCTCTTCAAGTAAACTCCTATGTTCGTTTCACATGGACCTCAGTAACCTTCTATTCCAGTTCCCTTTACTAGGAAGTGGTAGAGACAAACATTTGGACATGATGTGCTCACTGCTTCTGTAGTATCAGTGGACAGTGCTATCATAAATTTCTTTTAAATTTTTGAGTTCTTCTTGATACTTGAAGTTTAAGTCTAGCATTTCTTGTATTTATTTGCATTAATCCTCAAGTGCTATCAAAACAAATTAACCCAAACTAGGTGGCTAAAAATGAATGCATTCTTCCAAAGTTCTAAAGACTTACAGTC